CCACCCCCTCCTCCCCAACAGCAACAATCATGAAGTGTAAGGAATCAGTAGCTGAAGCCTCGCCAGGAAGTCTGTTGACATGCAATTACTGCAGGGCGACGTCGGATATACATTGTGCGGGTCTCAGCAACTCAGCGTTTAGGACGATACAAGTTGCAGTAAAGCATGAAGGCTATTGCTGGTATTGCCCTGACTGCATAGTCAAAGTGAAAGAGGCGATTGCAAGCCATAGGGGAACGAGTTTCCGAGGGACGAAAATAGATGAAGCTGGATCCTTACTGGTTGCCAAACTAGAACAAGTTGGGAAAGAGATCCTTGCAGGGACTGAGGAAGCAGCCGATAGAATGGAGGAGGTAGTTAGTGAAAAGGAGTTATGCTCAGGCCTTAGCGGGGCCACGGGAGGTGGCGGAGAGTAATGCAGGATCCGAACAAGTTTTACAGCAGCTAGGGACTCTGAAGAAGTGTGTCGAAGAGATGGCAACTAGCAGACCTACTGTTAGGGGAGAGGAGGAACAACTGGAACGTTTCGAGCGCAGGAACAACGTAATAGTTTTTAGAGTTCCTGAGAGCCAGTCGGAGGAAGCTCAGAGTAGGAAAACACACGATAAGTTGCAGTTTGAGAATATACAGAGGTTCTGAATATGCCATTGCCCCTCAGGATGTGAGGAGCCTGGGACAAAAGCAGGAGGACAAGCCTCACCCCCTCAGGATCACGCTAATGAATGAGGAGAAGAACTGGGAAGTTATTCGGCAGGCAAAAAAAATAGCAAGGAACGAGGCATTTCGCAATGTATTCATTCACCCAGATCGCAAGGTAATGCAGAGGGAACAGCACAAGAAACTCCTACAGGGCTTGAAGCAGAGGAAGGAGGAGTCGAGGAAGAACGGGGACTGGTGTACATGGATTACATCCAGGGGGATGGGAGTGGAAGCAAGAGCGCCAGCACAGAGCCTGGGGGCAATGGTACACCCCCCACCCGCTCCACCTCCTACCCAGGAGGAGGCACCAGATCTACCTCCCACCCAGGAGAAGGCGAGCGCCGTGCAAACAATGACATTTCTAACCACACCCTGCAAAATTCAGTGCATTTAGCAAATGCTGCAGCTGCTGAGAATGGAGGGGGGCTGGAGTCACTTCCAAGAACAGAGACGTTACCGAGAACAAATTCTGGCTTGAATGTCATATACACTAATACTGACGGGTTCCTTGATAAGAGAGAGGGGTTTGAAACACTACTGAAGGTACACCAACCCGATATAGTAGGTGTTGTAGAACTGCTGTAAAAGAACAGGAGAATCGACCCAGAGGAATGTGAGTTCAGTATTGACGGATAAGACTTATTTACGAACCTTTCTCAAGAAACTTGCAAGAGGGGTGTGGTTATCTATGCTAGGCAAGACCTTAGAGCCAGCCAGGTGAGGGTACAGGGCGAGGATATTTTTAAGAATCCAAGTGGTGTAAAATTAAATTAAAGGGACTTACATATTCTTGGGCGTATCTACAGATCCCCAAACTGTAGCTTACTAAACCAAAAAAAAAAATTAAGAGCATTAATAGGCAACGTAACGATCCTCAACCCTAGCCACCTCCTTATCATGGGGGACTTTAACTATGGCGACATCGACTGGAGAAAAGAGTTCACGCCAAATGACTTAAATAACCCCGCTACGCTTTTTGTAGAAACTCTGAGAGATAATTTTCTGTTCCAACATGTTAAGGACCCGACGCATTACAGAGGGGAGCAAACACCCAAGCCACTGGATCTCATCATAACAAACGAGGAGGGTATGGTGGCCAAACTGTAGACCAAGTAATGTTGTCAATCAGATTTAACTGTTACTTAGTTCACGACAAAACCAGGCCAAGGAGCAAATATTACAAGGGAAATTACGACGGGATGAGGGGTATCCACTGGCCTGACTCACTAAGGCACAAGAACGCAGACACTACACTGAATATCATAGCTAGTAAAGTGAACCATTTGATCGATAAATATATACCCAAGAGCAAACCCAGTGCCTCTAGGAATACAAGGAGACCCCTACACATGAACCATGTGGCAGTCGATAAAGTTAAGAAGAAAACCCAGAAATTCAAGACGTGGTTTAGGTCAAACGATGAGCAGGACAGGAGAATGTATGCAAAACCCAGGAGCCAAGCAAAGTCAAAGTGTGGAAGGGCTGAAAAAGAGTTCCAGAGGCTGGTTGCAAGCGAGGTCAAGTCAAACCAAAAGGCGTTTTACCGTTATGCAGAGTCAAAATTAAAAACGTAAGTAGGAGTATCTGACCTAAGCCTTGAAGATGGTAGTTACGCAGATTCTGACCAGGACAAAGCTGAAGCATTGAACAGTTTCTTTTCCTCGGTGTTCACAAGAGAGGATGCGATCAATCTTCCTGCGTTTGAGGACAGACGGTTCGACACAGCACTGACCCACAATGTCTTCACAGACAAGGTTTTAAGAAATAAAATGTCAAAGCTAAAGGTTCGTAAGAGTCCCTGTCCTGACATGGTGCATCCCAGAGTGCTAAGAGAGTTGTGCAACGAGCTTTTCGAGCCCCTGAAGATCCTGTTCTGTAAATGCCTGGATGAACAAAAGGTCCCCAGTGATTGGAAAATGGCTTATGTGAGTTCTATCTTCAAGAAGGGCGATAGTCACTCCACGAATAACTATAGACCGGTGAGCCTGACCAGCATAGTATGTAAAGTATTTGAGAGCATTATAAGAGATGCCATGATGGAACATCTACTACGAAACAACCTTGTAAAAGATTGCCAACACGGTTTTATGCCGGGGCGCTCCTGCTTAACACAATTACTCAAGTTACTGGATGTTTGGACCCAAATTCTGGAATAGGGTAGTAATGTCGACAATATATACCTAGATTTTCTTAAGGCTTTCGACAGCGTACCCCACGAAAGGCTGGAAATTAAACTGGAATGGCACGGGAATCGAGGAAATGTCCTCGCGTGGATCGGAGACTTTCTCTATGGCCGCAAGCATTGTGTGGTGATTAATGGCACGAAATCACCATGTGTACCCGTCACAATCGGGGTACTACAGGGAGGTGTATCGGGCCCGCTGTTGTTTGTTTGCTTCATAAATGACATGCCTGACGCTGTACATTCCTCCATACAAATGTTTGCGGATGACAACAAGTTATTGCAGGAAATTAAGAACCAAGCACACTATGAGGAGCTGCAGAAGGACCTCTGTGAGCTTCAAGAATGGTCGAAGAAATGGCTGCTAAGATTCAATGTCACGAAGTGTAAGAGGGTGCACCTGGGACGTACCAACGATAAGGAGGCGTATCACATGTCCCAACGGGACGAAGAAACTGCATTAATTGAGATTGATTGTGAAAAGGACTTAGTTGTGTATGTTGACAACGAGCTGAAGTTCTCGGGCCATTGCGAGAAGAAGGTGAATCAGGCAACTAAATTATTAGGTCTTATAAGAAGATTGTAACGATCTTCAATGGTGAGGTGCTTCCCCGTCTAGAGTACTGTCACCCGTCTGGTCCCCCTAGATATGCTAGGGACTGTCAGTTGATAAAAAATGTCCAAAGGAGGGCCACCAGGCTGGTGCCTGCACTTTGGCACCTCAGCTACCCTGAGAGATTGGAGCGCCTGAAATTGCCTAGCTTATACTACAGACGGACAAGGAGGGACCTAATTGAGCTGTATAAACATTTCAAGGGGCACTACTCAGTCTAGTTCCCTTACCCGGAGCTGGCGGAAGCTCGCCCCACAAGGGGTCACAACTCAAGGTTGAAGAAGCAGCAAGTGCAGAAAACTGTGAGGGGTAACTTTTTCGGAGTGAGAGTTGTGAGCTCTTGGAACAATCTGTCAGAGAGTGTTGTGGCGGCACCGAGTGTGAGCTCTTTTAAGACCAGACTTGACACGCACTGGAGCAGGTTCAGATACATTCAGGAGCCAGTGTATGCCTAGTTTTGGCCAACAGTGTGTAACAGAGACGTGGCCTATCGCCCAAGCAGCTAACGAGCCGATCAGTGACGAATAGGATAAAAGTAAAAAGTAAATATATTATAGACCTGGCGGTGGCATTGTTTATATTATCTCAATAGTCAAGACATATGGATACCAGCTACTTACACTATTGCATTAAATAAAAATTAATGTGACAGATGATAATAGAAGTCACCATGGATATTACTTGATGGCTAACTTATTTACTTACAATTTAAATGTCAGGCGGCAGCTGATGACTGTGAGATGTAGTGCGTCTTGGACAGGAAATAAACTGCGACTAAACAATGTGTGCCAAGCATCCTGAAGCTTGTGTCTATACTGTTTATAAACACTTCTATGCTTGAGGTAGTGTAGCCTGTAGCAAGGTTTAGAGATCTGTGCTGTATGTGGGTCCATATATTTAGACAATAGAAAAAATTATGAAAAGAAGTTCTTCTAGAATATGAAACTAATTCAGTAACCAAATTATGTAAGAGAAAATATCCCGAGAAAGGTTAAGTGTAGAAATTATGAAAAATCACCTGTGTTGAATATGAACGTACGTAAAGTTATATTTTGGTGCTGAATTTATAAGTACAACGAACTCTCCATCATCACTAAATTAAACTGAGTCGCAGTTTGAGTTTGGGTTATTATTCATCGTAGTTATAAAAGACGATATTGCGTTCTACTTAATTGTTGATAGCCTTCATTCAGATAACGATAGTATTTATCATATTGCTTCAGGTTAAGTAGGCCATGTAGTTAACCATGTAGGCTGTGAGTCATCATGATGAACCTGACAACCTTCCTCAGTGCCTCGATTGGGCCTCTGATTCACGTTCCAATAATTATTACATTAAAATGGATTAATAAAATTTCAATCTTCACAGTATGATTTATATATTATCCTACTTGATATTAATCTTAGAACATTATATATTATTATTTAACGATACTAATAATAATTTAAATTTAAGTGCAATATAGTAATTTTTCAGGAGACTTTACGGTAGTCTTGCGATAATAAGTCATGTCTTGTTTATGTTACCAGGTCTGGAGCAGTAAGGGACGGGCATAAGTAGAGCAACATGCCTGTTAAAACAGAGATGGCTTCGTTGGATCCGCCTCCTCCAGCTAATTCTGGACAACCGGGCGTTACTCGCAGCCTCCTTTACAACGGGTCTAGGTTCCAGGGACACCAGAAATCCAAGGGTCAATCATACGACGTTGAGGTGGTGTTGCAGGTGCGGTCATCGAGGTGTTTCATTCATACTCAACCCTCAGGAGAATTGAGTATATTTATATTTATCTTTTAACATATCGAATACATTAGTGCTTCAGGACGACTATAGTTTGGGTGATGAAAATTGAGAAACTTCTATACCAGCATGGATTATAGTTGTAACGAAAGTAATGTCACTTTCTAATGTCAGTGAAAGTTGTTGGGTCGTGACTGATATGGCCTTGTGTTGGCCATATTTAACCAGCCGATATGTTAATTGTTATTTATTTCAGTTTTTGTGATCATTTAATGGCATAATATATTGTAGCTTAAATAATGTATTGAAAAACTGATTCTAGAGTGAAGTGAAAATGGTGCACATCACACAGGTATTTTTGGATGCTTCCTTCAATACCACCTGTTAAATTTATCTTGAATTTTGTAGTCTTATATCAAGAAAGACAAAGGACTCTGAATTTCTATAATGATTGACCTAATTAGCATACAAGTTAAGAATTGGTTTGGCATGTACTATATATAGACAATACAGGTACAGTACTGTATACAGTACAGCATGTGAATAGACAACAGTCAAACAATATACATACACCATACAGGTATTCAGTGGATTGGCATCCTTAGTCCAATCACTATTTCTAATAAGGAGTGCCAATTTGTGGTCTAGCTTAGCTTAAAGATCAGAACGCTCACATCTCAGGTTATCGAAACGGTAATCCAACATGAACTTTTTCCAATCACCCAGTATGGTCATATTAAAAGCATGCTTTTTCTGTCTTACAATATGGAAAGCTTCATCCACTTCAAATTTCTTTATTTCAAAGTGTTTCTTAGGATGATTTCTTGGAAATCATCAAAGGGGCGATCAGGCATCTGCAGGACACGTTGTGGGAGGATTGATTTTGGCATGACTTTTTCACTAAGGCATCTCTGGAAAAATTTCAAATGTATTTTCAATTTGTGGGCCTTGATCATCGAAGAGGAGTATTCTGTAACGAAAGGAGACAGTCCAGGACAGCTTGTAGAGAAGTAGAAGAAGTGGCGCGTGGAATCCATTATGCAAGTAAATCACTGTAGGTGCTTGTGATCCCAGTTGATGATTTATTGGAGTTCCTCACAGATTCCCTGGATAATGTTTCATTGCCCGTCTTGAAAGATGACTTCATCGAACTCATCAAACTATGTATTAAGGATTGTAAATTTGAATTGAATGTAGAATATTATGCTCAAAAATTTAGTATGGCAATGGGTAATCCGCTTTCACCAGTATTAAGCAACTTATGTATGGAATTCTTTGAGAAGAAACTATCGAGTAATATTTTACCACCTTCAGCAATCTGGTTTAGATATGTAGATGATGTAATATGTCTTTGGCCATGTAATGAGGACCTAAAAGCTTTTCTACCACAACTTAACAACTTAGCCCCCTCGATCAAATTCACTGTGGAATTAGAGAATGACAGCAAATTACCATTCCTAGACTGTCTGATCCACAGAATAGGTAACACCTTTAAGTTCAGTATTTATAGGAAATCTACTTATTTGTGTTCATACATTCATTATTATTCTGCCCACCATAATAGAGTCAAACAGTCAGTATTTTCATCAATGTTTTTACGTGCTCTAAGAATAGGCAGTCCGGAATTCATTGATGATGAATATAAATACTTGTATATCTATAATATTGGCTTGAACCTTAAGTACCCTAGGTCTTTTATAGACAAATGCCTTAACATTACTAAGAAATCTTTTTATAGAACTGATCCTAAGCCCACCCATGACAATAAGAATCTCTTAGTATTACCATTTAACAAAAATTTCTCTCAAATTCCTATACAACTGAAAGCCTGGAATGTTAATGTGGCATTTATAAACTCATGCACTGTAAAACAAATGTTAATTAAGAACTTCCCCCAACAATGCAGGCAGCTGCATTTACAAGGTTCCTTGCAAGGAATGTAATATGTTCTACTTAGGCCAGACGGGTCAAGATCTTATAACTAGACTTAAACAGCATAAATATAGTGTTAGGACAGGCCAGGAATCCAATGCTCTGTTCATTCATATGAGAGATAATAAGCATTGCATTGACTGGGATAATTCCTCCTCAATATTACCTTATAATTCAATTGTCAGTAGGAACATTATAGAATCCAGTCGACATGAATTTGAATAATGGTATGTACAAACTGGATAATTTTGTGATTAAGAAGATTTGTAACCAGGTCAGAAGGTTGGGTCATCTTACCCTATGACCTGACTATGGACAGCTGCTTTGCTTAGAGATGGCATGGTAAATTTTTTTGGGATTAAGAAGATTAATAAGGGTCACTGCCTTATGACTGGAACATTGTGGACCCCTGCTCTGTCCTCTAGGGACTTGATCTCACACTCCTCTGCAGTATATATTAGCCTTGTCAAGTATTTTTCCTTAGTCTGTACTAACCCCTGAAGATGTGAATTACACAAAAGCACTTGGGAACTTCGTGTTTTCTTGTTTCCTTGTGGTTATCAGCAAATACTTGGATCACGCGCACCTACAGTAATTTACTTGCATATATATATATATATATATATATATATATATATATATATATATATATATATATATATATATATATATATATATATATATATATATATATATATATATATATATATATATATATATATATATATACATACAGTGGGGTATGCTATAACGAATGGATCCTACTACGAATATTCCTATAACGAACGGTTTTACCTATAAAATTGAGAATGCTATAACGAACGAAACTCCTACAACGAACATTATTTAATTTTTTTTTTTCTAATTTATTGTTTTTTTATTACAAATATTAATGATATTCTTTATTTCAGGGGTTTAGATGCATATTTATGCACTTTTTTACGATTTTTACAATTTTATATTATATTTTTCAGTGTTAAGTGGTTGTATTTGGGGGCCTGGAACGGATTAATCCTATAACGAACGAATGCTATAACGAACAAGGTTCTAGAACCAATTAGATTCGTTATAGCATACTCCACTGTATATATCGCAGCGTATAAGTTGACCCTATTATTTTCAGGCTAAATGTTGGAATTAGGCTTATTCTTGGTGTATAGTCGACTGCAGAACTTCCAAGCAGTGTATGTATCACAGTAAGGTTGTTCAGCAACTTTGTGATACGTGACTATCGAAGGGCGTTACATCGGATAATGAAAGGGATGCCGCCAGAATAATCTAGAATATAAGACTATTTGTATTAAACTTGGTTTAGGCCAACCGGCCTATTGCAGACTTCTTATGTTCTTATGATTAATTCCCTTTTTGTACATTAAATGCAAGATTATCGGATTTTCCTTTTATGATATGCTACCTACCAGGACCTTAATTAAATGATTCATGATACTCAAAATTTATGTTGTGCTACAGGAACTTTATCAAATAAAATAAAATAAAAAACATTGAAATTTTTTTGATAAATTACGTATTTTCGAGTCCCAACATTAGTGATTGCGCTGTGTACTGACAAAAGTTTTGTTTGTAATTCCCTTTAAAATGGCTGGCAAGCTTAAAAGTGAGAGTTTTGTGGTGCTGAGAAGAAAAAGAGACACCCATTTTAGATTTTTTATGTATTATCTTCGCATTTTCGACTTATGACTAATTCAACTTACTACCTGGATTTGGGTCCCTAACCCTGTTGTAAGTCGAGGAGTGGCTGTATCTATTGGTACATATATATATATACTGTACAGTATTGGTATATTAAGGATTCATTCACAGTCCATTATTCCAGATGTTTCATATTTTATTGTCTACATGCAAATCATGTTTTTGTTTAAAAACATATAACTGTACAGTCGACCCTCGTTAATTCAGACCTCTTTAATCCGGATTTCGGGTAATTCGGACAAAATCTGAACAAACTTTTTTTTTTTTTTTTAAGATTTGTAGGAATATTACCTACGCGGACCTTAAGCTAAAATGCTGGTCCACCCACTGCTGGGATAAAACACCAGCGTCTTTTTGGTCAAATGTAACATCTCCACCACTAGTGTGGGGGGGGATGCAACTTTTAGCTTCAGACATGAAAAGTATTTACCATTTACTGCCAGTAAACAATGGAAACGTAAAATTTGTACCAATTAGTAATGAAAAGTTGTGCAGTTCCTTCAGCAAATGAAGCTCACCAACTTACAATAGGCTAAATTACCTTACAACGTGTTTTCAGTAGTCTATGTTGAAGTTCTTAGCACAGGCTAACTTATCATATCATATACGGTATCACAGTTCTCATTGATCTACAAAAAATACCGGTTATAAAAATCTTTTTGATATTTCACACTTAATATAATACCCGGTAATCTACTTCAACCTCCTATTGTTTACAACGACACATGACGCACCACCAGCTGTTGAGTATCAGCTACACGGCACACGTGTTTTTCGAATCGTTTTCAGTTAAAAAACTGTTACATCACATGTATATTTTACCTTAACTCTGCCTGAATGAATATATTCTCTGAAATAAATAGTAGTTTTGCTGAAACATGATGTATTTTAATGTAAAATAGGATAAAATACATGACGAAAACAAAAGACTTTACCTCACCTTCCGATGTTCTAGAGAAGTTACTCGTTTTTTTAATAGTTTTGGTTAAAATACTGTTATATTACAATGGTATTCTATTCATACTGTGCTTGATATAATGCATTCACGGAAATGTAATATTTTTGCTGAAATGACGTACGCTTTACAGTGGAAAGTGGGATAAAATCGTGACGAAAACAATGACTTTCGCTTTCTTTCGTTCAAAAGATGTTACCGTAATCGCTTTTCGATTGGTTTTCAGTTAAAAAACTGTTGTATTACAATAATATTCTATCCTAATTGACTTGAATAAATACTATGATACCATATTTCTGAATATTTTCATTAAAATTCATCCAAATCATTTTCCTTGTCATCGTCTGCAGCACCAAACAGCTTCTCCCAGTCCTCTCCTTGAACAGGGCTAGAGGGTACGTGTTTTTCGAATTGTTTTCAGTTAAAAAACTGTTACATCACACGTATATTTTACCTAAACTGCGCCTGAATGAATATATTCTTGGAAATAAATAGTAGTTTTGCTGAAACGTGATGTATTTCAATGTAAAATAGGATAAAATACATGACTGAAACAAAAGACTTTACCTAAGCTTCCGATGTTCTTGAGATGTTATTCGTTTTTTTAATAGTTTTGGTTAAAATACTGTTATATTACAATGGTATTCTATTCATACTGTGCTTGATATAATGCATTCACGGAAATGTAATATTTTTGCTGAAATTACGTACGTATTACAGTGGAAAGTGGGATAAAATTGTGACGAAAACAATGACTTTGAAATATAATGCAATATTAACTCCTAAATCGGTTAATTCGGACAATCGGCTAAAACGGACACCCTTCCCCTCCTATTAGTCCGAATTAACGAGGGTCGACTGTACTTATGTCAAAATGCCACCTGTAGAGTATTTGAAAACTAAGTGATCATACACAGGCTAAGCCATTCTTCATGGTGGCACATTCACATAATAATATTATACTGTTATGCTCAAACAAAATTACCTGTACGTAATTAATGTAACATATTGTTAACTGCACCCCCAGCTTGTTCCAACTACAGTACAGTACTGTACTGTAGTGTAGTCTCAATCCATGTCCACAGAGTGAGCCGCATCTCACAAAACGCATCAACCACTGTAACAGGTGGAATTGTGGGCAACTGTACCTGTCACCATGAGTGGGCATAAACAAGTCCTGTACATTATGTTTACATACAAGCTTGCAACTTTCTTACGTAAAGTATTTACAAAGAATAAAGGAATTGATAATACACAGCAAAGGAGAGAAAAAGGGATAGGTAGCCAGTTGTTAAGTTCGTGGCCAACTTGTGATGTTGTCGGGCACGAGTCTTAATCGTTAAACATACAGTGTTTTTACTAATATCATAAACACAGTACAGTATTATATACCAGCAGCTATATTGTGTTTGTAAGAACCCAGAAAGTTATTACAAAACAAAACAAGCATGAACTGTGCTGTTTGTCAGGCAAATAAGTGGCTTGTAAATAGTGACTAGCATGGACTAGACTCAAGAGTATTACCGACCTCGGTGCTTTTATTTAGAGTGGCTGCTTTTGAAAATACAGTTGGATTTTTGGATGATAGATGAAGTGTTGGAAAATAGATGAAGGGTAAGAGTCCATGATTTGTTTTCCACATAATATGAATTTCCAGTTGTTAGACTTAGTGTATTTAATCTACACTCACAGCACAGATGCCTATCCAGTATCTACTCTTGGGAGATTAATACCACAGTAACTGAAACACAGCTCACTTATTCTAGTGCATTGTTGTGTAACTTGATACACGTTCATGCTTTGAAGATCCAATAGCAGTGTATCTGAAATTTGGTAAAATATTCTTCATGCTTATGTCCATAAGTTGAGCCATTTATATATATACAGTACTTTACAGGTATTAAAAAAAAAGAGAAATATTGTATTAGATAGAATTATTCCTTACAATAGTCATTAGATTGTCATCATTAATGTTTTGCCTTTGATGTTTTAATGCTTTACTGAAAGAGAGTATGGTAGGTTTGAGGACCCATTAGCAGGCCTGTCCTTTAGGGGGGGCGAACAGGGGCGACCGCCTGTGGCCCCGCGGGGCCAAGCACTAGACCCAGTGACCTCGGACACATTACCTGTTGACTGGTTAATCTGACCTGACGGCTTACGCCACCATCGCAACCGTGACCTTACCATCCATTGCGACAGTCCCATGGGGGTTGGTCGGGGTGGGTTCCTCTGATCGCATAATCTGGGGCCCCGCAGTGGCTGAGTTGCCCCGGGCCCCGCACCCTCCTAGGGACGGCCCTGCCCATTAGTAATTAAAGGATGAGGTGAATCAACCTTGTAAAAGGTAACCTATAAGAAATTAATATTTATAATTGTTGGTTGATTAGAGATTTGGTCAATGGTTCTGTCATAATGATTGTTGGATAATCATATTGTTTGTTTCCTTCACATCCAGAGAATCCCAAAACTATTTTGAGGTAAAATTATGCCCCAGTTTAAGTCCAGTAGATTAATAATTATTGTACCATACATGAATTTTCTTTTTAATATCTTATTCTTAAAACTAAACCTGGCTACCATTGATTTTCACCATTATCACAGTAGGGATGGAATATTTGTATTAGAATACAGTACATTACTATTTGAAATCCTATAAGTATGGTATTTGCATTCCTATTCAAATGCAAATTCATAGGATAATCATATGAATAATAATAGTTTTATTGATAGAAATAACCATACACTTGGCTGCTGATTTTATTTGGGGCAAACGTAGAGAGATACTGTACTGTAGTTTTTTGGATGTAAATTACAATCGGCTTATTGAATCCGTGACATGAGTCACCGGTGAAGCTACAGGTATATATCATTCAATAAAATTAAATATTTAAACAGAATGTTAGTAAATAACTTGCAACTCTCAACAGTCATCACTGTGGTGAGAAAGCTACTGGTAATGCATTCTTATAGTGTGACAGATACCCATATGATGCCAAATGGTACTTTAAAGTTATAGTTTGAATAATAAATTCTTCTCCTATTTGAAATTGGATTTAAATTCTATAAATATCATAGTCATTATTATAGGCAGTTAGAAAGAAATCAATTATTTTGTGTGCCAAACATGTATTACCAGTATGTGTACAGTCAACAACAAAAATTTCTGCACCCCTGGGTCTGATGGTCTTTGCAACGATCACCGACTGAGGCCATGTCCATTTGGTGAGGTTGGTACGTCTGATTGTATCATGTATTGTGTAACTAATATGATGTATTCTGTATATCATTTATAGTTAATACTATACAGAAAAATTAACAGGAAGACATTAATTCGGTGTGTCATACTGTATAACTGTAAAGGTGCAAAAAAATATATTTTTTTGTTGACTACACTTAATGATTTATTATTGCTGTTTGGCAACAACACTGCCTGTCTGCAGCATATCTAGAAGTTAGAAGTGTTTAATATAATAACTAGCTAATGATAATATATTGTTTCTGTTACAATATTACAGTACATATAACTACAGTACAATACTGTACTGTACTAGGAAAGTGTAAATAAATACATCTACACAAGACAGGTTTGATATATTGAATACCAATCATAAAATCATCTCCCACTTCATACCATATTTATAGCAATAAAAAGTTAGTTTAACCCCCCCCCCCCATGCAGTCTTATTCAGGAACATTTAAAAAACATATAAAATGCAATTCTTGTCTTACAAACTGGTCATGCATGATATATACAGAAAATAAATATACCCTGTATGTCCATACAAAAGGTAGACAACACGGGCTAGAAAGAGTCGAGAATGTTCGTAAAATAGTGTATGTATAATGCAATAGTATGAGGTAAACAACACTTAATTTGTAGGCAGTATGAAGTACAGGGTTCTTGTTTAGCTATGTTATTACTATTTACATTATTAACAATCATTTTACTACTCCAGTAATTGATTACAATACTAGACTTGTGCTTGGGGGTTGGGGGGTAGAAACACATGGTGAGGCGAGTCAAGACCAAAGGCGAGATTCCTACATCACAAAATCTGAGATGCTACTGAGAATAGACTGGAAGGCTCTCATGTGTGAGTGAGTGAAATATTAATACCTACTTGGCTACATAATCTAGTCAGGCCCGCCCTTTTTATTCAAACAGGCCAGCGAAAGATCAAACCGTCATGTGACGTGACCCGAAGCTCTACAGACACATGTCACAGAACTTGACCTGAAGCCTAGGAGTTAACCAATAGTATTAATGAATGCATTTATGAATACTTTCTTAAAGTATTTGTACAGTATTTGCATTTGGGGTGACATGGTTTCTTTGTACAGTATTCATACAGTATTCATATTTTTAGAAATTACATGTAGAAGTATTCGCATTTGAATACTGAACTTTTGTATTCACTCCATCCCTATATCACAGCATTGCACAATTTTAATTTATTTAATTTCTGTATTACAAAACTTTTGGCATTTTAGAAGCCAAAACTGAAAAACAATTATTTTTTTTGACAGCATGTAGATGAAGCTAATTCCTACCTGTGTGGCTATCTCAAAATTAAGGGCCTGACCGAGGAGTATCCAACATTAACGACTTTCTTCGATGGTGAAATTATTAGCGAAAAATTTCCATTCCTCACTCGAAAATGGGATGCGGACGAGGAGGTCGACAAGAAACATTGGGTATGTTACATGCAATGTTTATATGTGTAATACCTATTGATTAAAATGTGTGAAAGAAGCTGTTTCTCATGTCAGGAACTTTTATTTGCTTACTGGTAGAAAAATCATATCACCAACTTGGATTTTATAAACATATAAAATTTATGATCTCCTGGCTTTGCAAATAGGCCATGATAGTTTCATTAAATCAACATGATAAAGCTAATTTTTCACCTTCCCTAAGCACAGTGGCAGTATTGCAACAGTGTGTAGCTATTTTTCTAGTCATACACAGGGAGAAAGGGTCCCTCAAACATTTGGATGTTGCCATTTAAGTTAAAAAAACGTGTGGCCATTTCCAGCCTTCAGGGCTCCCATCTTGTCACGTCTCCACTGCATTATAGTCATAGTTGTGGGCTCCTGTTTTTAACCCTATTTTCACCTTTTCATGGTTAAAATAAGTTCATTCCATAGCTATTAAATGGGTGTTTCCAGAGGATATATCAACGTATGCTATGCAGCCTGAAAAAAACTGAATGAGTTACAATATATCTTTATAAAACAAAAGAGTTGATAATTTTGTTGTATTTCATATGGATTCTCTCAGGAGGGTTTCCAGGGGATACATTGATTGCTGGTGAAAATCATAAAAAAAAAAACTAACCTAACCATTCTGAAATCCGAAACACATCTGGCCCCAAGGATTTCGGATAAGGGATTGTCAACCTGTACTAATTTCACCAGATTTAATTCAACAGGTGATATAAAATTAAAATAATATGTACAAAATGATAAGTAGCTTCTCTCCAAGCACCAAATATCTTTTAACACTGTCATTATATATTGAATTAGTTTTGATGTAGTACCATTCCTTACTCATTGTCTCTGTAATGGGGGTACTGGTCAATGGTGTGACAACTCAAGGGGTTCCTGATGAGAAAAATTTTTGAGAACCCCTTCATTAGAGGGTATTTTTTTTGAAGTTACGTCACAGTGAGGCTCCTGAGGACTTGTGGAAGATGCACTGTACAGGACCAAAATTTGTGATGACCTTCAAGTGGGATGTAGTGCATTCCTTTTTCTAAGGGTTTGGAAACACAGTCATTGGTATACAGTATTCTTTTGTGAAAAATATATCATCCTTTTGTGTTGAACCATGCATGTTCAGAGTTATTGGGAAAATTTTGTCTGCAATACTACAGAATTTTTTTTTTACTGATAGTAGGCCTCAGCAATCACTTTTGAAAACTCTTTTACTGAACATTGTACCTTTGATACTTCAAATACCTGTAATCTCTAACCTCCTTCAGTATCTCATTCTTCATATTAATTTTCCATTTTACACTAATTGGCTAGATTTTTCTACTTTATCAATTTTTATTTTGTCAGGCTAACTTTTAAATGGTGGCAGTCATTAATGTCAAGGGCTTAGCCATGGGTTGGAGCCCCTTTATTTACCGTAATGGGTATGGAGCTCAAGTTTCTTCATCCTAACACAGCTATAAATTGGGATTTCTGGGATCAATCCTTTATTTGTTTATACCTGTACTGTATAAAAAAGGGGGATATGGAAGAATTTCCAGTTTTAAGGAAAAGTCCCTATTTTTTCCATATGTTATTAACTTTCATGAATAAAGATCAGTCTGAGAATGAAATATTATGGTCCCATTTAGTTACTACTAATCAATTATGTTAGTGACCCAGCACTGCACATGTTATATGCTTCTCGTCAATGTTCACTGCCTCTAGGTTTTGTCTAGCATTTAATAACAGAATCATTCACTTAATAGTTCACTCTGCTCTTAATTGATGTTCAAGAATACACAATGCTTTGTTTTGGTTCAACAGTGCTTCTGAATAATCTAATTGCTTTGGAAAGAATATAAAAAAAATTATTTTCTTGGGGAGTTTAATATATTTTTTTCTTTTACAGGGAAAATTTCCGCCCTTCTATCAGTATACTAAAACCTTCAACTCCGATACATTTGACTACAGTGTGTTGAAGGATTCGGAACACGTATTTATGCGATGGAAGGAACACTTCCTTGTTCCAGACCACACTGTTAAGGACATAAATGGAGCATCATTTGCGGGTTTTTATTATATCTGTTTCCAGAAGAGTGCAGCCACTATTGATGGATATTATTATCACAGAACTTCAGAATGGTAAGTGGTGCATTTTATTGCTAAAGTTATTCAAATACAGATTAACCCTCTTTTCTTCAGCTTTCTATCAACCAGCAGCTCCCAATTAATGGCACTGTTATAGAAAGGGCATTATCCAACAAGCCAATACGTAGTTGTCCAGTTGACCACTTACGTCTGTTGTTACTGGCCAAGAGATTGTTTACACAGCCATTGCTGTTGTGGTTGGGGTCTTGTTGCTGGTGTTATATGTTTTTAGGTATGCAGTTAGTATTTTACTCCCAATTTACAGTACAGTAAAACCTTGATAACTTGGCATGTATGGGACTCTGGTTTTGCCTAATTATCCCAAATTCCGACTAATCGAGGCACTTCCCCCTCCTACAAAAATATAACAATAGAAAATCATCTAGGCCCATATACTTGTACATGTGATTACTAATTTTCAAAAAGTAACACTTACCAGCATTGCCTGTGAAGAATGAAGCATCATTGTAGGTGACATAGATGCATGGTAGGTGATAAACAGTAAACAGTGTGGCACTTATGTATACAACTGTAATTTGGTCACTTATACAAAATATAGAATAAATTTTAACAAAAAATTTGTTTTCTCTATGTACAGTATGATTCAAATCTGAGTATGTAAATAAACACATAACTTATATCACTAAGAATATTATAGTCCACCCTAGTAAAACCATTTTCTTTATTACAGAGCAAAAGAGTAAAATTTAAAGTGAGTACTTTAATGTGGCTTAGAAATAAAGAAAAATAATATAAAACTATAAAATAAGAAAAATTGAGAGCATAGGTATGTGGGAGGTGAAAGTATGTGAAGGCAGTGAGTTGTACTGCGTGGCTGACTCATCCGCCTTCCTCCCTCCCATGTGACATTACAGCACATACACACACACTTACTTGCTTATAGCAGTCCATCGAAGTCGATGACGACGTTGCTCCAGATGAGTTATGTGTTATTCCTCTGATGCCACCGTAGATGACAATGGAGTCCGATCCCGGAGGCGCAGATCTTGTTGCATAAGTGACAAGGATGTTGTTCATTGAGAGGAATTATGCCTTGAGCCCTCTGATGTCGTTGGGCTCGTTTAGTAGCTCTCTTTTGGTTCAGTGAGGTCTCAAGTGTTTCCGCTCCTCTGTGGCACGTTGAGCGCCATAAGGAACGGTCTGAGGCTAGTTGCTCCAGTGAATTTGGTTGGATATTACTGCACTTGAGTAGAGTTATAGAGTGGTCCTTCTATCTCTTTTTCTGTCCCCCTGCCGAGCGGTTTCCATGTGAGAGCTTGCCATATAATATTTGTCTTGGAAGCCGGTAGTCTGGCATCCTGATAACATGTCCAAGCCAGCGCAAGTGTCTTTTGGCTAGCATGATTTCAATGCTGGTCGTGTTTGAGCGACGATATAGTTCTTCAAGAGTCACTCTATCTTCCCAGGATATTCCAATGATACACTTAAGGCATCTAGTGTGGAAGTTTTCCTGCTTATAATAATGTAGATATACAGACCGCGAGATAAACTGCAGTCTTCGTTCCATATTTGTGGTCATTGTTGAGAAAGACTCTTGTTCTCAAACGTCCAAATGCAGCTGAGGCTAAATTGATTCTGGTTTGAATTTCCATATACAGTGAGCAGGTGGGTGTGAGAGTGCTACCAGGGTACTTAAACTGGTTTACTATTTTGATAGAATCTCCATTAATGTAGAATTGTGGTGCTTCTATTGGTGGAACAATGGGCTGGACAAAAATCTCAGTCTTCTGAGTGTTAATTTGCAAACCAAGCGAGCTGTATATACATGAGATCACGTCCAGTGCACGTTGCATAGATTCTCTGTTATGTGTCATTATTGCACAATCATCTGCATACTGTAGTTCTATAACCTGAATTGTTAAGGTCTTTGTGTAGGCTTCCAGACGTCTAATATTAAAAAGACTAACGTCAAGACGGTACCGTATGCCCATGCCTGCATCAGGCCCAAGGGCATTGTGTGAGAGTTGTGCTACTGCCAGCAAAAAGATGTTAAACAACACGGGTGCCAGCACACAGCCCTGTATTTTGCCCATTTGGACACTAAATGGTTTTGACTGCACACCACCCACTAGTACCCGGGCTTGCATTCCATCATGCTTCTAGCGGAGTATGTTTAAAAATCTTGGTGGTACACCGACCCTCTCCAACATAGTCCACAAAAGTTCTCTGTTTACTGTGTCGAAAGCTTTGGAGAGGTCAATGAAGGCGGTGTAAGGGTCTACATTTTGCTCTCGACTCTTTTCTTGAATTTTCCTAGCAGCGAAGATCATGTCTATTGTACTGCGATCCTTCCTGAATCCACATTGGGATTCAGGAAGAGTGTTCTCTGTTAGGTGTTGGATAAGTCTTGATAACATGACTTTTGACAGGATCTTGCCAGCAACTACAAGGAAGGAGATGCCCCTGCTGTTACCACAGATTGCTTTGTCACCTTTATTCTTATAGATTGTTATGATATTTCCATCTCCAATCCTGGGGGATGGTCTCTGTGGCCTATATGGTGAGTAAGAGTCTATGGAGACGCTCAGTCAAATGGGGACCTCCATGTTTGTAAATTTCAGTAGGAATGCCGTCAGGTCCAGCGCCCTTGTTGTTGCTCACCCCTCGTATTCCAGTTTCCACTTCTTGTAGGAGTGGGATGGGATGTTATCCAGTACTGTAGGTGTTATTGGATTAATTTGATTTAGAAGTGTGCTGAAGTGCTCAGCCCATCTTACTGCAATCATTTGATTGCTTTTGTAGAGTGTGGTGCCATCTAAAGATCTTACTGATGTGACATTTCTTCTTTGTGGGCCATAAATGGACTTAACTGCCTCATAGAAGCTGTGCGTGTTATTGACATCAGCAAAGGCTTGAATTTCTTGTGCCATTTTTATGCACCAGTCATTTTCCATGCTGTGTAACAGTCTTTGTGTTTCTGACCTGATGTTGCTTAACCAGTCCCTCAGTGTTTGTGATTGAGGATTTGATAGCACTGCATCGTGGGCTAATTTTTTGGTGTTGAGAAGATCATGGATGGTAGGTGAGTTTTCATCAAACCAGTCCTGATGTCGCTTTTTTGAAAAGCCAAGGGTTTCCATTGCAGCTTCTCTCATTGCAGTCTTCGACTCTTTCCAGCCATCTTCCACAGTGCCAGGTTCCATAATTTCATGGGATGGGAGTTTTCGGTGATCTTGTTTTTTAATGAGTTAGAGGTTTCAGGATTACTGAGGGTTTTGATGTTAAGTTTACGACTGGAGGCTTGCCTCAGGTGTTGGGGTCGAATTATCATGCGAATCCTGGATCTTATTAGCCTATGGTCCGTGCCACAGTCTGCACCCCTCATGGCTCTTGTGATTTGCACCTCCTTTCAGTCATCTTGGCGACTAATAACATTGTCAAGGAGGTGCCAGTGGTTTGATCGAGGATGTTTCCATGAGGTCTTGTATTTGGTTTTCATCTGGAACCAGATGTTAATGATCGTAAGATTGTATTCTGAGCGCAGTGTAAGGAGTCGGAGTCTGTTGTTGTTCATCTTCCTTACTCCATGCTTGCCCAGAACTTTGTCCCATGTTTCATAGTTGGGGTCATTTTTATATACCGTATATCTCGGCCTACAAGGCGACGGGGTGTATAAGATGACCCCCAAAATTTCCATTTAAAAAGTAGGTTTTGAGCTCTATTCGCTGTATAAGACTACCCCAAATGTGACACTTACCATTGGGAGCTTACTGACCCAGTAGTCCTTTACCAACCATCCCACTGACCAGTGCTGTTTACACATCCTTGGTTATTTAAAATAAGGCCAATTCACTTCAAGCCATGGCATCAAATGTTACCGGCTGGTGTAGTGTAAACACTAGTGATGTTACTTGAGCGTCTGTTATTTAACTGGAACTTATGTCGGTGTCGAGTAAAATTTTCCATTTACTTGAAATGGATTTACCGATTTATTTGTTTATTTATAATATACTGTAATATATAGTGGTCCCTTGGTTAACGAACACAATTCGTTCCAGAAGGTCGTTCGTTAGCCGAAAATTTCGTTAACCGAAACCATTGTTTCAATGGGATTTTGAGTAAATGGTTCCAGCTCACCGAAAATTACATACAAAGTAAAAATAAATGCAGTAAAGTACACTTACTTAGAGGTGTGTATGTAGAAGGCTCCTGGTTGATGATGATGGGAATTAGAAGTGGGGGTGGAGGAGAAGGGAGAAAAGAAGGAAGTGGGGGTGGAAGAGAAATCACCCCATGCTTGATGCCGTATTTTCACCCATAAAATTTTAAATTCACTAGGTGTAATTCAAGATTATTTTCTTTAAATCAACACTGGACTGCACTATATATTGTCAATATGTTAAATAAATATCAGAATGACCAATAATTGTACTGTAAAAACATAAAAATAGTTTATGTTCAAGAGAGCCACAAGCAAGATGCTACCTCCACTGACCAGAGATACAAACTGATTCCTTGGTTGGTGAATCAAGTGTTAAATGACTAAAAAAATTAATATAAAACTTGGAAAATTATTGAATAGTACAACCTTCTTGATACTTACTCAAATGGGAACGAATTTAAGCCCTAGAACCGATTACTGTATTGGCGGACTAATATTCCAGCTGGTGAGCAAGCAAAAACATGTTGACATGATTTCGTAAGAATTTCGTTAACCGAATTTTTTTTCGTTAACCGAAATGAAGATTCTTATGGAAGGTAATTCGTTAACCGAAATTTCATTAACCGAGGGATCACTGTATTAAACACTCTGCAAGTATTTTCTTTAATTTATAAACTTGCTTCGTGACAAAGGAAGGCTATACCCGGTAGGTGAACTTTACCTGATATATTTATGGTTGCATCATCATTAAGGATCAAACTCCGAATCAGATGACGTGACTACGGCTTCTTCATTCTCCTAAATTTAGCATGAAGAAAACTACCACTGTCGGTAGTTTCAAGAATTATCGCATTCATTTACTGAATATTCTTTGTAAAAAAATAAATTTTAAATTAATTATTTATAGGAGATAAGCATTATGATCAGTAAATATACCGGTATGCATTACTGGCCACTTCGGACACAAAGACGGGCTAAAAATAACCCTATCTCCCCCCTCTTACAGCGGCCAATGGGAAGCGTCTTGGGAATTAAATTTTGTTTGTTTATTTTCATTGTTTATCTAATTTATCATGTTGTATCAAAGTAATATTACTAAAAGTTGTGTAGGTAGTAGGAAGCTACCAAACAGGGATGTACTACCACCTGGGAAGATATTGAAAGCATAATGTATTGTCTAATGGTAGACCCTACTTCCATATGGCATCACGAAAATTGTGACCAAGTCCCAGGTTGCTGATCTGACTCTGCCTCATTTACACACAATTGCAGAGTTTCAATTGTTTCTCTTACTTTGACAACACAACATACATACAGTATATTGTTTCTCACTTTTGATCTTTTTTCATTTTTGTATTTATTTATGGTTCTTTATTATTACTATTTTATTTAAAATTTTGAATTTTTTATTATAAATTTTATTTACTATGAATTATTATTATTATTATTATTATTATTATTATTATTATTATTATTATTATTATTATTATTATTATTATTATTACATTTTTGCCCCCCAGACCCCGATGTGGGTCAGTGACCTGTGCCCGGGTGGGCTAATCCCCATTAAAAAAAAAAATGTACTACCGGTAATGCTATGATTGTGTTATAAATATATTTATTTGTGGAATTATTATTCCGATAATTATTTGTAAAACCTACGTGGTCTCCTAAGGTAAAGCCTGATGACAGTCTGCGTGGGTGTGTCACTGAGAACATTCTTATGAAGAGTAATGCAAATAAAATAAAGTCTAAATGAATTATTTATGGGAAATACGTATTATGATCAGTAAAGAAATGCATTATTGGCCAACTCGGACATAAAAGCAAGCGGGAAAATGACCCCTAGAAGTGCGAAGTGACAGCGAACACTGGATGTAAAAAAAAAAACACTTTCCCTTTTTTGTCTCGTCACTGGCAAATGGCGGGCGGTGCATGATGATAGCTGCGTTTATTACCGGGGTATGTTGTTATTTTACGGTATGTTAGACAGGTTTATATTACATTTTTATTATTTTAATATACTGGTAATCTTATTTTTAATCCAGCTTCCCAAATGCAAGTTTCAGTATAAAATAATTAGTGGTAGGACCGTGTGAGTGTTTTACGATTTTCTCCATCACCACTCTTGGCAGGCTAAACCACAATATGTAAGAGGTAAGAATTTTATACCCGGTATTTAAGACAACCCCTAATTTTGGGCTGATTTTTTTAAGGTTCAAATTCCGTCTTATAGGCCGAGATATACGGTATATATAAAAATATGTGCTATTGTATTTTATGATGTGCTATGTATCAATTTTATTGTTTATCATAGGTTTTTTTTTTTTTTAGCGCTCCTGGTGTCAGACAAACGCATAAATGACTTCAGTTGCTTTTGGATTGTTGGACTAAATTTGAATTTTTATCATAGGGGACAAAGTTGGCATACCTGGAAGATTCAGATACATTACAGTAGTTAGAATTCGGATAAAATGAATTGCACTGTCAATTAAATAAAGTCTACGACATTAGATTTATCGTAATAGTGGATACGTTCTGTATACAGTGGCTGGCCTGACATTGGAGAGAGCACCCAAAGAGCTCGTAAGCTGATAAGTGGCAAAAATTTTATAAAAAATGAATGGGGGAGGTTGTTGGGTGTTAATGGGTTAGTACCGCAGGAACCAAATTTTACCAGGGAGTGCTGGTGCCCTATATATTTTGTAGTACCTTATACCCAAGATATTGGGGTGCTACAGCACCCTCCCTTCCCATGTCCATGCACAGGGTGAAGTGAGCCAGCACACACCCGTCCTCAACAATAACAAACACCAGACTGACCAGGCGTGAAGCTCAGTGAGTGTTACCCACTCAGCCAAATGTGTCAAGTTTTTCCCAGATAATTTTATATAACTGCATTTCCCGAGTTACTGTATTTTATAATAGATTTCGAGACCATATATGTGCTGAATTATATGAAGTTCTGACATATCAAATGTCGAGTTATCAAGAGTGATCATTTACTTAGTGATATTTTGGTTGAGTGATTTAAAATTTTTAACACCCTCTCTTGTTTAACGATCGGCAATTTTCATTTTAGTGATCTTTGACTCACTGGGAAAAATTCGGCATGGAAGTCAGAAAAACTGGGGGTTCTGTACTCCAAATGAGAATTATTACTATACTGTAATGTGGCTTGGAAATAAAGAAAATTTTGAATAATGATAAAGTAAATGATACTGTAGTAAATAAATGTAACATTTAAATTGCGAGGTGAGCTAATAATAAGTAGATGATATTCTGAATGTGTAATGCTAACTGAAGTAAAAACCCACATTGGAGAAATAAAAGACAAAATCTTGGAGCAGGTATACTAGGGCCCTCTTGAGCCAACTAACAGAACAAACCAAGGTAGAAAGACATAAAACAAAGGAATCAAGTCACATGACCTGTCTCCTGAGTTGAGGTAGGGTGGGGATTAGGGATAATTTTCTTGCTGACAGTATTCAGGATCAGGTATGGGGTCCACTGATATTATTTTCCGTTTTCGCTCGTTTGGTGATAATTTCACTTAGTGATCGGGTTTTCAGGAACACATCCTGATCGCTAAACGAGGGATACCTGTACTGTACAAGCTACCATTAAATACTCCTGGCTCTAGTTCTCCCAAGAGGAGGAGACATACACTGACTTTAGTAAAGTCAACCTGCAGAAAAGGTAAGATCACGGTGTTTGTGTTCACAAACTATGCAAAATATTCAGAGTTGGTTCATCTACATTGTACAGTATTCCCTTCAAGCTTGTGTCCCTCGGAAACTTATGGATTAACCCTTTCGCTGCGTTTCACGCACTTGCCAATTTATTCTGGCTACCGCCAGACGATTTTATTCAGCTTAGGGTGACTTCCCGCTGCGAAAGGTTTAAAACCTACCTCGATTAACCTTTTTGCCGCGTTTCACTCACTTGCCACTTTATTCTGGCTGCCGCCAGACGATTTTATTCAGCTGAGGGTTAAAACAAAAACACCTCTTAATCAGTCTCTTGACCAAGGAATAATTGCTGTTTTCAAGTCATATTACCCCAGTCGCAGTATTTCCAAGATGGGATGCAGTGAACATCATCATAAACATCATTTACGATAGATATGGCAAGGGGAGAGTTGCCAGGGGGTCATGAGGCAGGGGGAGAGTTGCCAGGGATCAAGAGAAGTCATCACCTAAGTACAGTACAGAGTATTTGTTATTTTAGGTTTATTTAATTATGTTATCTCATATTTATAATATTGTCTTATGCCCATCATATTCATTATATGGGATCTGTACTAATCATCATTGTCATCATAGTAAGACAATCCAGGATGAATGGTGAGTTCAGATATTCATACAGCACAGGTGGTTGTGTGGTGTTATTTAAACTGAAATAAGCCTAACCAACCGGCGCCAGATTCTCATTGACAAACTTCTCACTGCTTTCACAATGACGATTACCTCCCATACAGAATACACGCCCATGCTCTTCATATTTCTTATTTTATAGTTTTATCGTGTATTTTCTTTATTTTTTAAGTCACATTAGAGTATTGAAAAAAATTTTACCACAACTTTTATAGTTTTATTACATGTAACAATGGCAACGTGCTTTACCATCCCTCAAAGCCACAGCTGGTGCCAAATTTCTCTCTACTTCCACATTTCTAGAGCATTAATGCTATAAAAGTTGTCGAAAAATCATTGAAATAATCTAATGTGGCTTAGAAATACAGATAATACCATATACAGTAATATAAAACTATAAAATAAGAAAAAATTAAGAACATGAGTGTGTGGGGGGATGTGTGGAGGCAGCTGTCATAGTCCTTGTCAGCTGTGGCTTTGAGCCCCGGTAACTCGATGTGACGTCACATACACACACATAATTTATATAGAAGTTTGGTGTTAATAAATCAATTGTTTAATTTCAAAAACGTTTATTAAGAGATACAGTAATAATTTTAGCTTATTAATACTGTACCAGTACCCTTCATATACAGTACAGTAAAATATACTTATTTTACTTTATTATTTGGCTTGTCATTTAATTTTTATGCAAGTTACTTTTTATTTATTGTATTTTTTCTATAGTAGTATACACTGGTCCCTCGATTAACGAAATTTCAGTTAACGAATTAGCTCCCATAAGGATTTTCAGTTCGATTAACGAACAAAACTTCGATTAATGAAATCTTTACGACAAATACATTTTGTTGTGCGCTTCCGCTGATCAGCTAGTCCACCAATACAGTAATTGGTTCTATGTTTACATTCGTTTCCAGTGGAGTAAATATTAAGAAAGTTGGTCTCTTGAATATTTCTGCATTTTTTATATTAAAATTACAGTGGTCCCTCGGTTAACGAACACAATTCGTTCCACAGAGTCGTTCGCTAACCGAGTCCATTGTTTCAATGGGATATTGGGTAATTGGTTCCAGCTCACAGAAAAGTACATACAAAGTAAAAAAAAAAATGCAGTAAAGTACACTTACTTTGAGGTGTGTATGTAGAAGGCTCCTGGTTGATGATGATGGGAATTAGAAGTGGGGGTGGAGGAGAAGGGAGAAGAGAAGGAAGTGGGGATGGAGGAGAAATCACCTTTCAGGGGACCCATGCTTGATGCAGTATTTTCACCAATAAAATTTTAAGTTCACTAGGTGTAATTCAAGATTATTTTATTTAAGTCAACACTGCACTGCGCTAAATATTATCAATATGTTAACTAAATTTCAGAAATACCAATAATTTTAATGTAAAAATGCAAAATTATTCAAGACGCCAACAATCGATGTTCACTCCACTGTCAACAAAGCCAAACTGACGCCTAGTGGGTGAGTCAAGCGGCTGATGGGCGCACAAAAAAATAGTTCCCTGTACTGCATATATTATCAATATGCTAACTAAATTTTAAAATGACTAATAATTTTAATATAAAAAATGCAAAAATATTAAAGAGCACAACTATCTTGATATTTACGCCTCTGGAAACGAATGTAAACATAGAACAGATTACTGAATTGGCAGACTAGCCCATCAACTGATCAGCTGATACTCACAACAAAACATGTTTTTTGTAAGGATTTCGTAAATTGAAGTTTTGTTCGTTAACCGAATTGAAGATCCTTATGGGAGGTAATTCGTTAACCAAAATTTCGTCAATCGAACCGTTCGTTAGCCGAGGGACCACTGTATTGGTCATTCTAAAATTTAGTTAACATACAGTGATCCCTCGGTTAACCAACGCCTCGGTTAACGAAATATCGATTAACGAATTACCTTCCATAAGAATCTTCAATTCGGTTAACGAAAAAAATTTGGTTAACGAATTCCTTAAGAATTCTTCTCAACATGTTTTCGCTTGCTCACCAGCTGGAATATTAGTCCGCCAATACAGTAATCGGTTCTAGGGCTTAAATTCGTTCCCATTTGAGTAAATATCAAGAAGGTTGTACTATTCAATAATTTTAAAAGTTTTATATTATAATTTTTTGTCATTTTAACAATTATTGAACATAATTGAAGTACAGGAAACTAGTTTTTAGCGCGCCAGACAGTCACTTGACTCACCCAGCAGGCGTCAGTTTGTGTCTGCTCAGTGGAGATAACATCTTGCTTGAGACACTCTTGAACATAAACTATTTTTACATTTTTACAGTACAATTATTGGTCATTCTGAAATTTATTTTACATATTGACAATATAGAGAGCAGTGCAGTGTTGATTTAAAGAAAATAATCTTGAATTACACCTAGTAAACTTAAAATTTTATGGGTGAAATGGCAGCATGAAGCATGGGGTGATTTCTCTTCCGCTTCCTTCTCTTCTCCCTTCTCCTCCACCCCCACTTCTAATTCCAATCATCGTCATCATCAACCAGGAGCCTTCTACATGCACACCTCAAAGTAAGTGCACTTTACTGCATTTATTTTTAGTTTGTATGTAATTTTCGGTGAGCTGGAACCAATTACCCAAAATCCCATTGAAGCAATGGTTTCATATAATGAAATTTTCGGTTAACGAATGACCTTCTGGAACGAATTGTGTTCTTTAACCGAGAGACCACTGTATTGATAATATAGACAGTACAGGGAACAGTTTTTGTGCGCCCATCAGCTGATTGAATCACCCAACAACGCTTCTCAGTTTAACTTTGTTTACAGTGGAGTGAACATCGATTTTGTTGGTCTCTTGAATATTTTTTCATTTTTACATTAAAATTGTTGGTCATTCTGAAATTTGTTTAACATATTGATAATATACAGTGCAGAAATTATTATGAAACACGAAGAAGACATTGGCACCAAAGCACTCTGTAAAGAATATGGCATGTCATCATCGACTGCCTCTACAATCAGCTGTTTGTTATGTAAACAAAGCTGCCGGGAATACGACATACACACCTCAAAGTAAGTTAAAATACAGTATTCTATTGTACAGTACAGTATACCGTACAGTACAGTACTGTATTTAGTTTATATTTAATATTTTGTTAATTCTATTACCGGCATGTATACTTTTCTGTGAGTTGGAACCAATTACCCAATATCCCATTGAAATAATAGATTCGGTTAATGAACGACTCTATGGAACGAATTGTGTTCTTTAACCGAGGGACCACTGTATATTATTTTATGTTATCGGTGATAAATCATACACCATAAGAGACTGATCATATGAGAATATATACGTAATAATAAGTGTTAGAGGGTGAGTGTACGTGATGTTGAGGTGTGTTGCTGACACACACACACACACATCCAGTGAGGGTCTTAGTGTGTGACTGCCTGGATCAATTGTTGAGGGAATCTTTTCTGCATATATTATATTATATGTTCTTTATTTCTAAGTCACATTAGAGTATTGAAATGATTTTACCACAACTTATAATTTCATTATATGTAACAATGGCACCATGCATTACCCTCTCCCTCCCTCACTCCCTAAGACAGGGAGGGGGGCGGTAAAGACCGTCGAAACCCTCGCAGCCAGTAGTGAAGTTGTCAGACACAGTACACAACCTCCTTTGCACCCCATTCAACCCATAGTGCAATCCGTGGAGGGGTGAGTGCCGCGTTGTTTAAACCCTAGTAGTTTAAGGAATATGTGTACATAATATTGTTATACATGTGCAAATCGCTATTTATACTATATGTACTGTATTTTGCACACTTCGGGAACTGACATGAAAAATTTGCGAATTTTGCTTTCTCTCGGGGTCCATTTTTACCTAACCCTCACTAGCTTTAAGGGAATACTGTCTTAAAAAACTGAAAATTAAACTTTTTTATCTGGATCCATAAAATTATCTTTTTGTACTGTATTAAGTTTGTGTTTAGTGAAATATTGAAGGTTCTCTAAAGAATATAAATAGTTTTCATACAATAAAGTACCATTGATAAGAAAAAAAATTATTCAAATTAGCTTAATTTATGCATAATTAGTTAAGAAAAGGATTGTTTCACCAATCACACCTTTTATCAAGAAACAGTGAAAAGGCATTATTTTTAAAGATAAAATTAGACAGTATTAAAATTGGGGAAAGAACAACAGTTATCGATCAGCCACACACACTTAATAAATCATTTATTTCCACAACTAACATAATTATTTTATGCATTCTTGCAGTTAAGAGGTACTGTACAGAGATTTCTACATTAGCTGGAATAATTAGTGTAGAGCAGTTCCAGG